AGAATTAATCCCAACCGAAAATTTCGTGATTGTACCAGAGTCTTCTGATTGATTGCTGTTTGCTATCTGTGTTTATGGAAGAGGTTTTTTACTTCCCAACTTAGTGGTTTTGAGCATTTTTTAGAACTCCCTGTGACGTAGATCGGGGTATTAGAGCGCTCCAGTCGGAGAGTAAGGCTAAAATTCAAAATTTTGACCTCTGCTCATGCGGAATTCATTTGTATTTTGTATCTGTGACATGTACTTTTTGTTTGCAATGAATTAGAGCAGGTTTTTTTGATTGAAATTTGCAGCTCCGATCTGTTTCATAGATCAAATTTTCTGCCCTCTTACTTTCCAAAAAAATTTCAAAGCGGAACGGAGTTCCAAACCAGCAACGCAGATTATCTCATGTTTCCGACTTGTAGCACACTGGTCGTTTGAAGGCAGTGGTGTGTCTGCTGGGCATTGCCTCTGTGTTGGAAAAAAACGGGACAGGAAATGGCACCAGAATTGCTTAAGAAAAATGCAGAGCTCGACCGATGTGGCCTAAACAAATTTTGATTGTGACGGTAGTTATAGGGTCACGAAGAGGGAAGAGGGGACAAAGAAGTATTGGAGGAAAGTACGAAAACTGAAAGAAATTCGGTTCAGGGATTCGGTTAAGTGTATCTCAGCGCAGTAAGCATGGAATTGAACGAGAGCTTGTAAAAATATGGTGGGGTGCCATTAAGGTTATGGGACTCCATTTTATGTTGCATGAAGAGTGAAAGGTGGATTGTTTTGGGCGAAGAGATACTAATTTTCGGTCTAAGGAGTGACAGAATCGAGATGCACTTTTCCCATCGTTCGGTTAGCTGAGTGTTGAAAATAACATTGGTCTAAACTGTGTTTCTCGTGAAATATTAGTTTGTTTTCAGTATAAAGCTTCTCTGGGCACCAATTGTGGATTCAGTTTACTGGAAGCGCATAGGCCGTCGAAAATCGTGGATGGTTCCGTGCCAATATCTTATCGGCATTTTTATGCTTTTACTGTCGTACAGAGTTTCGGAAATTATGGGTGACAGTAATATAGGCAAGTTTATTACTTCTTTCTTCATGCATTTCTGTGTTTGAAGGAGAATTTGCATTCAAAAATGGGTCTCTGAAGA